TCGAGACAGGGTCTCACTATGTAGTTGAGACTGACCTGGAACTCACTATGTAGCCCAGGCCGGTCTTGAACTCACAGCAATCCTCCTGCCTCAGCCTCCCGAGTACTGGGATTACAGGCGTGTGCCACCATGCCTGGGTGTGACTATTTTTTTAATGATTCAGGATATAGTAAGAGCCTTCAAGAGCTGCCTATTTCTCCTGATAAGTGAAGATAAATTTAAATTTTGTGCACAATCAGTCCATGCTCACAAGCCACTTAAAAACATGCCAAATTCACATCTTGTTTAACTCTAGACAAGCATGATTTTTATGAGTTTATTCAGCTAGAATAAGAGTAATCACTCCCAAATCAGCATATATTAATAAAGCAGATGATTCAGAAATTTTCCAAATTAAAAGAAAACATTAGCTTGCCAATCCTTGAAAAAGAGTATTTCCAACTGCACTCTAATTGTGTTCTTAGTACACTCCCAAGATACTGCTTACCCATTAGTGAGCATGGGCTTTTTAACGTTTTCCCCATTTTCCCTACTCATAATATGTTATTTTACTAAGTGACTAATACACAGCTCAATTTACTAGTCCACAGACAACTATACTCAACAATCAAATGCATGAAATTTCTCAAGTCCAAGGATTGCATGGCTTTGCAACACTGTACATCATTTGCCAACCCATCTCCACAAGCACACAAAATAAAGATATGGGTAAGAATACCATTGGTTGACTGGTCCTTGGGCCCTATGAGGAACCCAGGTTTTTTTTCTTCTTTAAAGCCTAATAAAATAAAATAAAAAATGAGATGCTAAACATGCTACTACCTCATGCCAGCTAAATTTATGGATACCAAGCTGCAGTTAGTAATCCTTGAAATCAGAATGAAACTGATTCACACAGAGAATCCCATTACCTGCCCTGATGTACACCTGATGGACCTGCTGCTGCTGCTTCTTTTTGATTCGAGAGTACTGCCGCTTCAAGGCGTTGATGTCTGTGGTCATGCGTTCCATCATCATGCTGTTGAATGCCGCGTGGTATTCACTTCGACAGGAATTAATGGCTCCTGGACTCAACTCTGCAATGTTGTTGGACCTCAGACTCTGGTCTTCATTAGCCTCTGCACTCAGGGAAGAAATAAAAAGAGCAACTCAGAGGATCAAATAACAGGACCAAATAGGGATTAATCACACTATAACTGGATGTAATGTCTTATCCTCCAGGAAATTCAAAACCATAAAAATATTCCCTAGAATTTGTCTACTGCTTGTTTTGATTGGCTTCTACATTTTCATATTATTCTCAACTGAACTTTGTTGATTTTGTTACTTCTATTTTATTATATAAACATAAGATCAACTGCTTCTAGATAAAAATGCCATTTCTGAAATTCCCTTAGAAAAACACAACACCAGATGTCTAAAATCATTGTGCAGATACTCATACAACTGCACATAGATTTATAAAAGGGCAATTTGCAAAGTTTAGACAGTCATTAAAAGTATATTTTCCTTAAATTAAAAATACTGACACATTTTATAAATGGATCAAAATTTCAGACCACTGTGTTACTAGAAATGAACATTTTTATTCATTTAACAAACATTTCCCAGCTGCTTCCTAGGAGTGTTACATCTCATAGGATTTCTGTTTCTGGACGCCAAGATCCAGCAGATCTGTCCCTCAAATAAAATTAAGGTTACATCCAAGAAAGGAATGATTACTGAAGGGAGCATATATGTACTCACAGAATGCATAGGACAGAAGGGCAGGGAACGAGGCTTTTCAGTACAACATGGAAATCTGGCCTGGAACTAGCTAAAAGATTAAGAGATTTCAACTATTCTAGCCTCTGCTGACAGATAAAAGCTGAACATCTCATAAATTTACTTCATTTGTTACTAGAATCACTTCTCTTCAGAGGAGAAAATAAAAAGGAGAACTGCTACTTTAAACCAGTGAGAATGGCCAACAATCAAATGGGAGAAAGTGATGGTGTCATCCTGGAGCAAATAATCGCACAGGATACAGTAATAATATTCTTGTTATGAGGAACCAACACATGATGACAATCTAAATCGACAGCCACCAATTTACCTTTAATCTGTTTTTGGTACTTCTGAAATTCAGGCACCAGGAGCCCACTGAAAGGTCCAAGACACCCCACTGCATTAGCAAGGGCATCTTCATCATCTGGGTCATTCTCCTCATCACTGTCTCGGACCTTACTATGTTGTCTAGGAAAACACAAAAGAAAAATAGACAGTGAAAGAAAATACTGGTAATAAAAAAATAATATAGTCACATGGTTTAAATGTCATATTTACACAATTATAGGATTTAAAAAAGGTCTTAGATCCCTGCCAAATTCTGCCTAGTTCTTGCCCTACCTAATTCCAACAGGTGACATTACCAATTTCTTATCTATGCATGGATAAACAGATATATCTATATAATTTTTTCTTCTTGGTTTGCATAAATATTAACATATTGTATAAACCCTTTTTACATTTCGCTTTTAATCTTTCTGTATTCACACAGAGCTTTCTTATCTATTCCTATGGCTGTATTACATTTACATAGCCCATGTTGTGGAACCAGGCTGTTAATGGTGCCTACTTAGTTTCCAATACTATACTATTATAAATGATACTCCAATAAATAACCTTATATATACTGTGTTTTGAATGTGTAAAAATAAACAAGTGGAATAAGTCATAAAGATAGAACTGCTGAGACAAAAGATACATGCATTAATAATTTTGGTATTAAACTGACAAATTGTCTATTCCTAAGCCTTTAGCAATCAACCTCCCACAAGCAATGTACAGGAGTATCTATTTCCTACAGTTATGAACAGACAGCATTATCAAGCTTTTGAATTTTTGCCAATATAAGAGTAATAAAACAGAAACTAGTTCTAGACTGCTTTTTAGTACCAATGATACTGTACTTTTTATAAACTGCTTAATCCATTTTTTCATTTTTCTATTGGCTATTTGGGTGGCTATTTTCTTATTGCTTTGTAGGAATTTTATATATTAGAGATATCAGTTTCTATTTTGTTTAGAAGCTAAAACACTTTTCCAGAGATGGGGATTTGGCACAGTGGTTCCACTGCCAGCCTCGTAAGAATAAGGGCCCAAGTTAGATCCCAGGTTAAAAAAAAAAACACAAAAAAAAACTTTTCCAACCAATTTTTTTTTTTTTTTTTTTTTTTTTTTTTTTGTACCAAGGATCAAACTTGGGACCTTGTGCTTGTGAAGCAGGCGGCAGAACCACTGAGCTAAATCCCCAGCACTCCAAAAATATTTTTTAGTCTGTTTATAGAGGCTTTGTTTTGTTCTGTTTTGGTTTTGACCAGGTAGAAAACAATTTTTAAGTACTCAATTTTAATGTTTTTCCTTTGTTTCTATTTTGAATAATTTACTAAGGCTATTCAATTTCAAAGAACTAGAGGAATTTTTCCATATTTTCTTCCACTAATTGTTTCATATTTTCCATTTAATACTTTCATCCATATATGAATATACAACATGAGGGATGATTTTTTTTTCTGGATTAATTCTCATTACCTTAGTGCTATTTTCTAAATTGTACATTTTTTCACCGTTGATTTAATGTACTAATTTTTCATATATTAAATTAAGTATATATATTTGTCAATTTCTGATCTTTATGGTACTGTAAATCAGCTCATCTGTCCATTTGTACACCAGTTCCACACAATTTTAATTATTGAGATTTCAAATATTTTGTGGGCTTGCTAAATATTCCTTCAATTTATGTTCCAAATTTCTTTGGAAAGCATTTTGGATTTTTAGTGATGTTTTAGGATTTTGTTTTGTTTTTAAAAATCTCTCGAGTTTAAATCAAAACCTTTAGAAAAGTTATTCAGCTCTTAAGCACAAAATTACTTCACACATATTTCTAGGGCTTAATAAGTACTAATTTACAATAATAATAATCAAAGATACTAAGTCTTTCATCAAGAAAACAACAAGGATAAAGAAAACCTTACCCTGAAACTGAGGTGGATTTCACAGTGGCTGGAAATGGTGTAATGTTGTAGGTGTACTTTTCCCTCAACTCTGCCAACTGTGGAAAAGGAAATGGAGCCATAGAATACACAGTCTGAAAAACAAAAACAAAAATGCTAAGTCTTGAAAGGAGGCCCTAAATCACTCTTATCCACCCCAAAAAGATAAAGTTTCATAATATTGAGGGTAAAGAGGCAGATACACAGCAAGTGAGATTCTGTACTAATATACATTTTAAAGAACATTGTAAATTGAGCATCTGTAAAACAAAACCCAAAATGCTTCAGAATTCAAAAATTTTTGAACACCAACATGATGCCAAAAATGGAAAATTCCACACCTGACCTCAGAGAACAGAACACAAACAAAACTCAGGTGTACTAGAAAGAGTCTATAAAGTTACCATCAGGCTATTTGTGTGTAGGATGTACATGAAACATAAATGAATTTCACTTTTAGACCTAGGTCCCATTCCCAGGGTGTCTCATTACATATAAGCAAATATCCTAAAATCCAAACTCTGAATCACTCCTGGTCCAAGCTCTTCAGGTAAGGGATACCAAATCTGTATTGATAAATGTATCAGTGAGTTCTCGAATCAACGTCCAGTTGGCTGGGAATTCCAGCTGGTGAACATGGGTGAGCAAATGGAATAGTTTGGCTCCCTCCAGTCATTTGACACTGAATGAACTCAGAAACCCACAATGCCTGTCACCTCTATAACCAACAGTCCATAAATGTCCATCATATATACATCTTGTTTTTCAGGGTCTCAGTCAGTGATTTTTATGGGCATTAATGTCAGCCTTCTGAATAAAACTATCTCCTGGATGATCCTGTGATCGACTGTAAGTTTTCCCCAGACACCATCTTTCTAAACGTCTGTAAATGAGTTGTAAGTGAAAAATTTTAATTGTTATTTTTAAAGGAAAAGAAAAAAGTGACAAGGTGTAAAACACAGGCTGTCAAAAAACTTATAATTAAAAACAGGGAAAAGTATCTGCACTTAACACCAGCAACTATGTATCATTTCACTAGCAAGAAGAGAGTAATATTGTTTGCTCTTTTGAGTTTATAAAAATTTAATAGCTCCAAATTTCTACAATCCTTCAGTTTATTGACTAGAAATGCCTATTAATCATACTTCCATACTGTCTAAGAATTCAATCAAATATCCTAATACTTT